ATGAAATAACATAGTATGGTCATCTTACAGGCCGGGGCTGGCTGGGAAAGTGGGCCAGTGTAAGCGAATGTAGATGGCTCAGATGGGAACTTGGGGTAGTGACATTAACAGGATTTCCTTGGGATATGGAATTTTTGGGGAAGTGTCACTGGTTGGTTCAGACTGAGACTAGGAACCACTAGCAGGGTGCGCTCAATGTCGCTTTCCATCATGCTGGAATGCGAAAGTTTGCATTTGGGAAGGAAGTGGCTGCAAGCACACTCAGAATGGGCAGGGTAAGTGATGTGACTTGTGAACAAGGGGCCTGCTTATGGGGCTTTTACAGGGAAGCACCATTGGTCACAGGTCCATGCAATGTACAACGCTTAAACACACAGGTTGCCTACTCCCTTGCCATTCTAACCATTGACACAGCCACTGCTGGTGCCCCTATGATAACTACTTCTTTGTGCACATTCATATTGATATGTGACATGTACATAATATTCCTCCTGCTTCCAGATGGTGCAGTAGGCTCTCAGCGTACACCGCCATCCATTGAACCTTATTTGCAGCCATGAAGTGCCACCGGATGGTGTGTAGATATATTTAGCACCTACAAAGAGAGACTCAAAAACACATGACAGTTAATATCAAGAACATTCATATAGAAACGGAGAGTGACTTACAAGCCATTTTCATCTGTGCCACCAAAGTGCCCTAATTATGTTTTGTCCTTTTCTCCCTCCTACATCTTAGTGCACTCTCCGATCTGCAGCTATGCTGGAAGGAAGATGCTCAGCAGCTGAGACTATTAGCCCTGGAGGTTTGTGGGATGATCCCAATGACACTTGTCAGCAGGGCAGGCAAAGAGGAGGTGGTGGATCCAGCCACTTCTGCAGTGTCCTGAATGGGAAGTGTAGGAAGGCCTGCGTGTGGTTTCATCTCCAGCTGGTCCTTCCTGGCACCAAGCTGTCTCCTTGAGAGGATGGGGCTCTTGTACTGAAGTTAAGGATCCCCAGTCCCCCTATCACTAGGGCTTCAGTTTTGAGGACCAGGCTGTGGCGGGTGGGGGTGCAGGAAGCAGTTTTGCTGATACTTCCTCTGGGGTCTCCATACTCCTAGCCTCAGAAGTCAAACGTGGTGCTCCTGGACAATTCATTGAAAAAGGTTGTAGAGACTAACAGAACCTGCCAGCCAAAAGAGAGGAGGCATTGCGGCCAGTGGTTAGAAATGTTGTGCAGTGTTTGAGAGCGACAGCAACATTACCGAGAGAACTGCAGCAGAATGGAGAGTAGCACTAACTCGTTTGGTGGGACACAGATATCTCAGCAACAAGTGTGTTCCTGGTCTTCTGCTACAAGGGCCAGGATTCTCCGCACATGGACATCAGGCAGCTCTCTATCTGTACAGGCTCTCTGTCCTGTTATACCTCGTCTTCTTATGTAATGAACAAAAGGGAGCGAATGAGCAAAATTATAGCAGGTCGCTCAGCAGTTAGTGGCGGTGCATGTGGGGGAAGAGTGGTGGTGAGGTGTCCTGAAGGACAGAGGAGACAGAACAGAGGGCACACAGATTTATTGATGGGGAGGACTTGCTGAGGGGAACAAAAGTGAGTTAGGGAAAGTGTTGCACAAGAAAAAAAGACTGGCAGAGCATGAGTATTGGCAGGAGGTGAGTGCAGTAACAGAGATAGATTGACTATGAGGTAGCAGAGAGAGGTGTGATATGCTAATGGAGCGGAGAAGGTCATTGACCTTTCTGATTGCTGGCCACTTCTCCACACCCTTGAGATTGCACTGTCCAGGAAGCTGACCTTGGACCAGACTGACAGGGTCTGGTGGCAAAGCCTTCTCAGGCCCCTGGGAAGAGGACACCTCACCTTTAGATCACTCCATCCAGCAGGACCTCAGGTCCCTGTTAGAGAAACATGGTGCCATTTTCCCCTCCTTGTCATGTTTCAACTATGTCCATCAATGAGCAGGGTAGCTTTCGAATGCCAGTGTTCATCCAGGTGCACAACAGCCTTTTGAAGATGGTGTAGATGTAAGGAATGGTGGTATTTCGGCAGATATCCACTGTGTGACAAATTGTTCCAGGTAAAGTGTGTTAGAAAATGGGCAGAAAGATGTGATGCTATAAGATGAGAGACACACTGGGGCAGGATAGGTAATTAAGGTGGGAAGTTTGGTAAGGGAAATCTCTTGCCAAAGTTGGGTGAGAAATCTGGCTAGGCCACTTGCTTAAAAGACCCTCAAAAAAACTTGATGCAACTTGGACTTAATTTAAAAAAACCTAACATTCAGTTCATGGACACAATTCAACATAAAGGATTTGTCTTACTGTGCTAAAAAAAGTCTTCCCCCATTAATTTTAATGAACCTCTAACCTTGTGATCATAGATTAATTCATATAGACTAAACCCAGAAGATCCATTTTGTCATTCTGGTAACAGAAAATTCAGATCTTTGTTAATCATTGTCTTGAGAGTGTGATAGTACCTCTCTAAAATGCCCTTTATCTGCTGATCAGGTACTGTAGACTTTAACTGATTTATAGTTAAATTACACATAATGTCTTAAAAAGTTTTAGACATGAAGCTGGAACATTGGTCTAACTGCATTACTATTAGTAACTCAAAAACAGTAAAAAGATTGAATTAGTTAAACCACCATCACTTTGCTGCTACTACCCTCAAAGAAATAGCCCCTGGGAACAGAGTTGTCATTTCCATATCAGTAAGGATATGCTGGTGTTCCATTTTTGTTTTTGGCAATAGTTCAAAGTTCTCAGCATCCAACTTAATGGTTCCTCAAAGATCAGTATTGGTAATAAAGGTTCTGGGTTTGATTATATATTGAGGTTTACCCACCATTTAACATTTATGGCGTGTTCTACAAAACTGCACTATGTCCTGATGAAGGCTTTGCCAAAGAAAATGCCTGTTTATCAATGCTGGAGGTTTTTTGCACTCCCAGATGTCCTGTCAAAGGAAGTGCATGTACTGCCATTCAATATTTCTTTACCATAGGGGTGCAGGTACATAATTCTATGAAGTTTGTGTCACATAAAGACAAGATGGTTAAAAAGATGTTTGGCACGCTTACCTTCATCGCTCAGTCCTTTGAGTATAGGAGTTGGGAAGTCATGTTGAGAATGTACAGGACATTGGTGAGGCCTTTTCTGGAGTACTGTGTCCAGTTCTGGTCACCCAGTTATAGGAAGGATATTATCAAGCTGGAGAGGGTTCAGAAGAGATTAACCAGGATGTTACCAGCTATGGAAGGTTTGAGTTATAAGAAAGGCTAGATAGGTTGGGATTTTTTTCACTACAGCATGAAAGATTGAGAGGTGGCCTGATAGAAGTTTATAAAATAATGAGATGTATAGATAGAGTTAATAATAGTTGTCCTTTCCCTAGGATGGGGAATTTCAAGACTTAGGGGACACATTTTTAAGGTGACAGGAGAGATTTAAAAAAGACACAAGACGCAATTATTATTTTTTTTTTTTTTACACAGAGCGTGATTCGTATATGGTATGAATCTCCTGAGGAAGTGGTGGATGTGGGTACTTTACAATGTTTAAAAGACATTTGGATAAGTACATGAATAGGAAAAGTTTGGAAGGATATGGGCCAGGAGCAGACAGGTGGGACTAGATTAGTTTGGGGTTATGTTTGGCATGGATTGGTTGGACTGATTGGTCTGTTTCCATGCTGTATGACTAATACCAGGCATTGTACCACTATCTGATGAACAACTGTTCACTCTTCATTTGCAGTTTGTGAGAATGTCTCCATTTCCTCTTAGAATTCCAATTTAACTCCCTCAGCTTCAGGTCCAATGTTGGCTAATTGTGGGACTTGCATAACTCCAGGTTTGTTCTTTGAACCTCAGTTAAGGACTCACCACTTATTTAAATTATCTACATCTTTAAAGAATGTTTTGGACACTTTAATGCCTGTTTCTAGTGTTGATCAGACTAGCAACAGCCTTTGTTTAGGTATTGCTTTGATCAGCACACACAGGAAAAATACAGAACTCCTTCCTGTGATCTCTGGGTCTTTAACCTCAGTCAGACCTTCTGTGATAAGTGAAGCTACAGCCTTCACTTCTGCTGAATCAGAATGTAGTAGCAAATCAATGCCATCGTCAGATGACTTCTGAACATCCCTACTGCTGTTGTTCTGGACATTACACCACATTCTCATTACACTTTTTACGAAGAATTGATATTTAATCTCCACCTTTCCATTTATTAAAACTCTTATTATCGATGAACTGGCCTGGATTTTCCACAGGTCAGACATTGTCATTCCAGCATATATCTGAGGTGTACATGGGGACCCTGAGAAATCCCCAGCATAGCAGACTCAAAGGTAATTGCCTGGAAAATTGAATGTTCTGCTGGGCTATTCCTTATCGCCTGGAACCTTCCAAAAATAACAAAAAAACAATTGTTGGAGAAACTCAGCATGTCTCATCTTTGTGAAGAGAAAACAGAATTAACATGTTGAGTCCAATGACCTTTCTTCAGTATCCATTTAAACTGGAGACTTCATTGGTCCCATTGAAGTTAAATGAAATACTTGGAGTATTAAACCCATAATTTAATCCCTGATTGACTATTCAATAGACCCCATTCTTTCCTCATACACCTTAAACTACACCTTTCCCCCAGACCTTGACCCAACAATCCCATCCCTCCCCAGAACCCCTTGCACCTTAACCCTTACCACTTGGCACCCTACCCTTCCAACACACAAGCATCACACTTATGTACTTACAGTTTGACTTAGGCCATCATTGCAAAGACAGGGTATGAGTATGGAAATATTAAAATGTTGCCCTGTTAGAACTGGGGATATTACTTAGACTAATGCAAGATTTCAGCACGTGGATTATTGCACTCAGTGTCAGAGGACACCCACCCAATGACCCTCCGATGTGCCCACAAGACTACAAACTGCTTGCTGTGCAGAATCTTGACTGTTGTTTGAAATGAAGACATTCTAGTGCTGGCTTCTCCTTTCACTTTATTAATTTAAGAGTCACTTTTTTTTTTCCATTAACATTAAAAACATTCCACAGATAGACATGATATATTAGTGAGGGTTGGCACACATACATTCACCTCCATTGACTTCCAACCATTGACCGCGAGAAACAATACTGCCACGTGGGGGAAACGTGCAATAATACATGGATCTGGAAACATCTTCACACATTTTAAAACATCACAAATTAAAAGGGGAAAAATCCTAAAGATATCCAGTTTTTCAAACAGGTCCCACTGCTTATGTATTTTAGAGTATACAATGGTGAGAACCTTTCTCGAAAAGTAACAAAAGAAAGCAAAGATCTGAATCAGAACAAGAATCATGTTTAATACCAGGGAAGTTTCCCTTTCACCTGCTAGTTAGGTGGCACAAAACAGAGTGGTCCAAACAGAAATAAAAACAGAAAATGCTGGAAACACTCAGTACATCTGGCTTCATTTGAGGAGAGAAAAAGAACATAATTAATGTTTCCCATCTATTACACTATTTTCTTCTCCCTCGCTCTCTGCAGTTGATGCCAAACCTGCTGAATGTTCACAGCATCAGAGAAAGCTAGAGCAGCAGGTCTGGCAGCGTCCACGGAGAGAGAGAGAGAAACAGTTAACATTTTGTATCTGGTACAACTCTCCTTCAGACTTCTTCCTTAAAACTGCAGAAGATAAAAGTTTTGAAAAAATAAAACTTGAAATATTATTTCTCTCACCACAGATGCTGCCAGATCTGCTGAGTTTCTCTCGATTTCTCAGTGTTTGTTTCCGATTTCCAGCATCTGTAGTATTTTGCTTTTATGTGAATACTCAGAGCATTCTCTGTTCTAATTTCAGATTCCCAACATTTGCATTTTTCTTAAACTTTATTTATAAAACGCACACTGATGCCAGAAAAAGGTGCAAGGGGCAAATGCAAAACCACCAATGTCTCCACTCAGCACTACATTTTTTTAGATCATGTATTCTGTCTTATACTTTGAGACTAAAACGAATTTATTTTCTTAATTCACTTTTAGATTGCAAAGCACAATTTTCACCATAATGCATGAGAGAGTGATACAGCTGCACTAATCATGAAGTTAATACCAATGAGAAAATGAGTGAAACTTTGAAGTGATGAATTGCTCAGCAATATTTCCTCCTTAAAACTTCAAAAAGATGACAGTTTCAATCTAAAAATTAACAAAGACTTGTTAATAAAGTGAATTTCATCTTCTATTAACATCTGATCAAAAAATTAAGCTTTAGAAATAATGAGGAAGTCAGGAAATAGCACCTCATTTTCTCTCTGGGTACCAAGTTCCTGTAATCCTCAACTTCTACCCTTGCAGCCCAAGCACCCTGTATGTAATTTCTGAAAACATCTGGCCAGTGTTTGGTCACTTAGAACATTTCACTCCACTGATTATGTAAGACTGCACAACACACAATTGACCGATTTCAATTCGAGAAGCAAACCCTGATTTCCTATATTTGTGACAGAATTTTAGCTACAGAATTATCCATTTTATTACATATCTCCATTCATTGAGATAATCTCTCCAAGTCAGAACAAACTTGAACTCATTTTTAAACTCATCCCAGTGATCTATAACAAAGGAATATAATTCACTGGTATTTTCATACAGCCACTATACAATCGAAAATAAACACTCAGAGGTAGACTTAATTTCAAATTTCAATAGTATTTACAAGAAAATGTCACAAAGCACGTTAAATAAATGCTATTCCTGAACTGGATCAAACAGTTCAGTGTTTTGGGGAATAGTGATTGCTCGAGTTAATTCTCAGTTAGGACTCAAACAGTGTGGATGATTATGCAATCCAGTTGTTCCACAGCTGAAAGTAATTGTAAAGTTGCCAAATTGAATGAGCGCTTCTCCAGCATTCACTACAGGTTGTACCATCATGATCTAAAAACAGGTTTACAAATTTATCACGCATAAGTGGAAAATAAGTGCACAGTCATGACTGAAAACAACTGTGATGGCTCCTAGAGAAATCCAAAGGTTATTCTATATAATGTGTGGATTTTGTTTTTTTTAAAAAAATGAAAGACTTGCATTTATATAGTCTTATTCATGATCTCAAAATCCCAAAGTGCTTTACAGACAATGAAGCACTTAAAGGCAGCCACTGTTGTAATATTAGAAACATAGCAACCAATTTATGTACAGTAAGGTCCCATTAAGTACAAATGCTAATGACTATTCCTGTAGTAAAGAATAACTTGCAGCCTAAATCCATTGCACAGTTTTGCAAGACAGAGACAAAGAAAAAACTTCAACTGTACCTTGAGAAAGTTGGTTTGATAGGTGTGGGGGACATGGACTGATTTTAAGAACAGGAATCCTTACTAACCAGAAGTAAATAATAAAATCAGCCCCTTGAGATCTCAAAAGCCCACTTGACCTTTAAAATGTACAGAGATTTTTGAAGTAGACATGCAGTCAATGGACAGGATCAACATGGTGATGGTATCAGGTACCATGTAAAGATTAGTTTTCACTTGAAGTGGCCGGGAGCACTGACTCCTCAGGCTCAGTAAAAGACTGAACAAAGGAGGAGCACTGTTTTCCCATTTCCTTCTATCAAAGAGATTAAGTACTTGCAGGGTGTCAGGCAATAAACAGAATTTCCTTACTTACTGCAAATCAGGCCACCACCTTCATTCATTCTATGACTCATGAAACTTCCATGAAGGTAAGTGCTTACTGGTTAGCTTTAATTATAATTATGAATGTTAAAAAGTACATCTCCTATTCATAACATTCAGAATTTCACAAAAAAATTGTAATGCTTTGCTGAGTGCATCTTGAAACTGCACAGATGCTGCAATGATCACGAGACAGCATTAAAAATAAAGCAATGAAACTGGAAATGGAACATATTGTTAGGACATTTAAATTGGATACAATTCAATGTGAGAAAAAATAGACAAAGACAGTAAGTCTGACAGAGAAAGAGTTACATAGACAATGTTAACAAAGCATGTAAAAAAGGCTGTGAAGAAACAAGGGCAACAAAACTGTATAATGTGCAAATCAAAAATAAATTCCCTTTTAGCCAGTACGACCATTGGTCACTCATTAATAACAGTGATATCTCTTTTTGATCAGTGCTAACTTCCAACTTGGCCAAATGACTTTGGTATTTACTCATTCTGGGATTTGCAAGCAACAGGTTTCATTTATGAAGCAATTTAACGTAACTTTGCAATAACAGGTACTGGTACTAGATTCAAGCAGCAAATTCAGAACAAACTGATTCTTGGAGAGAAAGCAGCGTAAAAACAACCAAAGGAAAGGAAACTGATTCTTACGAGTTTGTGAATGGCACAACATCGGGTTTAGAATTACAGCAAATAGTACTATAAGTATGCAGCTGTGAAGACAAACAGATTTATGTTTCATATATATATCCTTCTTGGAAAAAGCACACTCCCAAAATGGCAAATATATCTTTTCTTCACAGTTGTAGGCTGACTTGCTGAGCACTTAAAGAAATTTCTTTTTTTTACTTCAGTTTCTGATTTGTTCATTCTTTATAAGGAGACTGAGTGCTTACATTTGTTCCCACCCTGAACTTGCACATCATTCCATTTTTTATTACATTGTGGATTTGCGCTAACTCTGCATGCTGAAATCTCCTTACCATTATGGACCTGAAATATTGCAATACTCATCGGACTGATTAAAAAGAAAAAAAACTGAAAAATCTACATTTATCCAGTGCTTTTCACCATCATAGCAAGTCCTGAGTCCTTTACAGCCAATTTATTACAAAGTGTAATGAATGTTGTACTGTAGGAAATGTATCAAATCATTTGACAGACTGTGCTGTATGCAAACAGCAAATGAGATAATGCCTTGATTATCAGTTTCTGGTGATATTGTTGAGGGATAAAAGTTGGTTAAGATAGTGTCTTGAATAGTGCCATGGGATCTTTTACATCAAATAAAATTGCAGGGCTTTCGCTTAATGTCTTATTTGAAAAATTAATACCTTTGACGTCACAGAGCTCCTTCAGTACTGCATCAAAGTGTCAGCTCAGATTCTGTGGTCAGATCTCTGGAGTTGGGCCTAAATCCACAACCTTTAGAGTTAAGAGTGCTAACCACTGAGCCAGTCTGAATCAAATTTGTTCCAATTCAATTAAACGTAACTGTGTGGGGACACAAGACAGACAAAGTGCAATCAGCAGTTTGGTCACCATATCAGATTGTTAATATTGGTTGCTCACAGAAACTTTAGTTGCTATGCTAAATTGAATTATTTAAACTTAGTGTAATCATAATGGAGTCTACCTCTGCTGTACACACCAGTTTTTTTAAAAATTTGGATTAAATCTGGACTGACCTGGGAATATATGGTTAACAGACAAGCTGGGGTACTAAGGGGATATACAGGTCGTACAGGAACATCTCAACTTCAAGGTAATGGGATTTCCCTCCTCCCAATGGAAAACTCATGGATACATTATATTTACATTACAGTGTAGCAATTATTGGATTCATTTGATCAATACTCCCTAATTCATGAATCACAGACAAATAAGTACCTATCTGCCTAAACAGATCATTAACAAATCATCACCTGTAAAAATGGAGGAACTGCAACAGTAGACCTTCTGACGAGGTTTTGGGTGGTGGTTGCGGGGTGGGGGGGGGCTGCGGGGGGAGGTGTTTAATATTGGGCTACTTGGGTCTTTTAATGATTTTAATATCTTTATCGTATTTCTCTAAGATGTTCTTGTGCAGGTAGTTTATAACTTAACCACAATAATGCTTATCTGAAGTAAACATCTCACACGCTCTCCCCCCCACTCCAACAATTTCGAGGCAGAATGAACGCCTCACATGCACAAAACAACAGACAAGGTGCAAAATGTACCTTCATCAAAGTCTGAGTTACAGTGTTCTCTTCATTACCATAAAATAAAAAAAGTAGGGCCTCAGACCGAGACCTCTTTCTAAAATCTATGGGCTAACCAGGAGTTCCTGATTGTATGTAGAATAAGTTAAGGGTGAAGTTAAGACATGTTTAGACATCAAAGCGGTTGGAAACATGAGTGGTTCCAAGGGCACTTTGCCGGTTGTACTGCAACTGTTCAGCCAGCAGGCCATTCCGTCCATACTGGTAGTCCGTGTATTGAGAATACAGCACAGTCCCATTCATTTGTCCCTTCTGATCAACAGACAGTTCTTCATGCCGATCAAGAGACACAAGATCCCCAGAGGTGACTGGGAGCAACTTTCTCTTGGCTTCTTGGTTGGCATCATATTTAGCCTGTTTTAGAAAGAGATAAGAAGTTAGTGGGGATAATTTAAAGATTAATTCTCATTTTAAAAGACTGAATTGTGCCAAACGCCTCTGGGTGAGTAATGGTTGAGTCAGGAGGGGATTGCTTTCTCATTTTATCTATTAATAGCACCGAGTTCTCTCAGCAGATATAGTGAGGCAGAAACAGAACTTGCCTCAGCGAACATCACTTTCCCTACCCCACTGGCTGCCTCAATTCTGACAGATTTCTTGCTCTGTGCTTAAAACACACAGGATAAGACAGGAGCAGGACACCCTGAGAACCAATAACCTTTTATTCTCCTGTGGCCGATTAGGCCACTGACACATGCGGTTTAATATTTGCAGATAAGAACGTCACTACACATTGTGGCAACAGACAAGAGGTCAGTCGATCCCTGGGAACTGCACCTCAATGCAGATCAGCATTAGGAGGAAACAGTAGATTAGAGCAGTGTCTCATTTAAGAATAAGGCAGACTGACCTTGTTATAGGCGAAAACCCCAACGATGGCAGTCATCATCCCTATGACATTGGTGGAAGTGACTGGGTTCTGCAGCATGATTAGCGATACTGAAATCACCATGATCCTCTTCGTGGCATTGGCCACAGAGTAGCTGAGTGGGCTGATGAGGTTCAGAATACTAAAGGCAACCATGTTTTGAGCAAAATTACAGAAGCCACTGATGATAAGCAATATGAGGGTCCAGTACCAGTGGGAGACATCAGTCTGGAAAAGACAAGCAACAAGTCGGTGACACGGTACATCTCTGTGCAGTTATTACTAAATATTGCATAGAAAATAATAGAAAACTCATTATTATTCTTTCCCAATACATTCCCAATCCCCTAACTATAATACTGTTAAAACTTATTTTTGTATCTTCCCCTTTTTCCATGATGGTCAGATGGAAGAGTGGTCAAAAGTCCAGGAGGAATATCTTCCACTTAAAAACAAGAAAGAACAAGCCAGTAAAAATACACATGAATTAGTAAAGAAATTAGAGTAAAATGAAACCAAGAATAAGGAGCAGACATTCTTTAAGTATGTAGATGATGTCAAAAGGCAACACAAAAAGGTTCAGAAAGAAATCAGAGACAATTAGGAACGTTGGGAAAGCAACTAAATGAAATTACCAAGGAATATAAAAAAAATTCTAGACACAAAATGACACAAGAAAAATCAGGATAGAGAAAGGACACACCATAAACCTGCAGGTAATGACAGTGAGCAGAAATATTTATTACTTAACCTCTCTGGTCAATAGAGAGGCAAAAATAGCAGGAATGAGCTCAACAAAGAGATCTAAAAAGATATCAAAACATCTCAGAATGAAAGATATTAATGATAATTTTACAGAAGATAAAATGCTGGGTGCATTCAGCATACCTTAAAGTTAATGAAGAGATATCAGAGACACTATAGCACATAATTAGAAATTTAGTAGCAGAGGGAATAGTGCCAGAGGACCTACAGGCAGTTCATGTGATTCCAAATTTAAAAAGGGAAATAGATAAAGTCCAGGCAAACATCAGTTTTACTCAATATTTGTGGGTAAGTAAAAAAATTAAATCCTTATTCAAAGAAGCGTCAGAAAATGAAATCCTTACTCAAAAGATGCATCAGAAAACTGTCTATAAACTGAAAATACAATTAAAAATGGTCAATATAGATTCCAAAAGGGAAGATCACGTTTGACTAATGAATTCTTGAAATAAAGTGAAAGGGTAAACAAGATGCAACAACCTAGAAAATTTCCCTAGTAGGTCCTGTCCACAAAATGCAGGCCAAATCCTACATAGCAAGCACAATATATTTTCAAAAGGCCAATAATATGTTTAAGCTACATTTAGAGTATTGTGTTTAGTTTTGGTTGCCACACTATAGGAAGGGTGTGCAGGCTTTGGAGAGGGTACAAAAGAAGTTTCCCGGGATGTTTCCTGGTTTGGAGAGTATTACCTGTAAGGAGAGGTTGGAAAAATTTGGATTGTTTTCACTAGAGTGGAGGCTGCGGGACGAGCTGATACAAGTGTATAAAAAATATGACTGGCATGGATAAGTTGGATGATTGGGAGTCTTTTTCCCAGGGTGGAAATATCAAATACTAGGGGGCATGGGTTTAAAGGAGTTGTATGAGGCAAGCTTTTTTGTTTTACACAAAGGGTGGCAGGTGCCTAGAACATGCTGTCAGAGGAGATTGTAGAAGTAGGTACGATAGGAACGTTTAAGATGCATTTAGGCAAACACATGAACAACAGGGAATACAAGGGCATGGACCATATGCAGGCTGATGGGATTAGTTTAGAATGGCATCATGATTGGCACAGACATTGTGGGCCAAAGGATTTGTTCCTGTGCTGTACTGTTGTATGTTCCATATTAATCTCTCAACCGAGATTAAAATGTGTGGGGTCAGGGAACATACAGCAGAATGAATAGCAATTTGGCTACGAAATAGAAGAGAAGGTAGGGGTCATAGGCAGTCATTGACAGTAACAAAACATACAAACTGGTCATCCACAGGATGGGTCAGGGATCAGCATCGTTCATCATTTAACTAAGTCGCAAGGACCAAGATTTGAAAGTACAAGATACCACTTGGGGGTCATAATTAATAAAGGGGGAGCAATAAAATACAGGAAGGATTGAATAAAATGAAGAACTGCCTTTAATTGGCAAATAATTGTCAGTATATAAGTGCATGATGTCCATTTCAGGACAAGGGTCAATATACTCCTTGGAAGAGAGTATTGATTTAGTAGAGAAGCAGAGAGATTTGCAGGTAGATGGACAAATCACAAATCAGTGATGCAGATTAATAAAGCCATGAAAAAAAGCAAAGGTTAATTGTTTAGAGTTAGATTTGTGTAGTATGGTTAGATCACTCTTAGAATACTTGTCTCATTATAAAAATGATATAGAGGCATACAAGAAGGTACAAAATGTATTTATTGGGACACGTCTGGGATGATTTCCCAAACTAGCCACACCTCCAGTTCTGAGGAAGGTCGCTGGACCTGAAACATTAACTCTGACTTCTCTCCACAGGCGCTGCCAGATCTGCTAAGCTTTTTCAGCAATTTATTTTTGTTTCTGATTTACAGCATCCGCACTTCTTTCAGTTTTTACACTTCTAGTCAAGCTGTTCCAGCACAGTTGCAACACTGGCATCTACGTAGCAACATAGAAAATTTCCCTAGTAGGTCCTGTCCGATTACCGTCCTGTCAGACTACTCTTAATTATCCGCAAAGTAATGAAGGAGTCGTTGACAGTGCTATCACTCATTATTTGCTCATCAACAACCCGCTCACCAATTCTCAGTTTATGTTCTGTCAGGCCCACTCAGCTCCTGACCTCATTACAGCCTCGGTCCAAACCTGACAAAAAGAGAACTAAACTTGAGGGGAAGTGATGGTGATTGCTCGAAATCAAAGCAGCATTGATCATGTGTGGTGGTATCAAGGAACTCCTGCAAAATTGGAGTCACGTGAATCAGCAGGAAAAGTCTCTATTGATTGTAGTCATATCTAACAATGGGAAATGACTGTAGTCACTGGAAACCGATCAACCCAACCACAAGACGTCACTGCAGGAGTTCCTCAGGGTTTTTTCCTAGGACCAAATGTCTTCAGTTGCTTCATCAACGACCACAGTAGCAGTACCTAGCATTTACGAGAAGCACTGCAACAACTCCAGATTCTTTAGCATCTTCCAAACCTGAAACCTAGAAAATCAAGGGCAGCAAATCTGTGGAAACACCAGCACTTACAAGTGCCCTCCAAGTCACTTACCACCCTGACTTGTAAATATAATCGTTATTCCTTTAGTATTGCTGGGTCAAAATCCTGGAACACTCTCGCTAACAGCATTGGGGAAACGACCTACAGCACATGGACCGCAGTGGTTCAAAAAGACAGTTCACCACAACCTTCTCAAGGAAAATTAGGAATGAGAGCAATAAATGCTGGCATAACCAACACTACCCACATCCCATGAATGAATGAAGAAGAATTTAAAAGTTATACCTAACTGTAAAAGATTAAACAGACTTTTGAAAAGAGGAAAAAAAAAAAAAAAAAAAAAATCGAGAAATAACCTGATAGAGGTCTTCAAGTCTACAAAAGGTTTGATGGCATAGGAGGAGAAATATGTTACTGCTTGTGATCAAGGGTCATAAATAAAAGATAGTCACAAATAATCTACAAGAGAATTAAAAAGAAATCATATTTACTACATGAGCAATGCAGAGACTTGGACTAATTAACCACGCAGTTAGGAAATTTAAGTTTGATTAATTAAATAAATATGGAATAAAGAGTTATTATGGGTGATGGTAATCATGTAAATACCAAATTTTTGTTTAAAAATTACTCATTGTTTTCACTAACATCCTTAAAGGAAGGAAATCTGCCATCCTTACCCGGCCTGGCCTATATGTGACTCCAAACCCATAGCAAAATGGTTGACTCTTAACTGCCCTCTGAAATGGCCTAACAAGCCACTCAGTTTAGGGATTGGCAATAAATGCTGGCCTTGCCAGTGACACCCACATCCTGAAAATGAATAAAAAAAAAGAATCAATATTGACGTTCACTCACTACTGAGCTGTTTACAAAAAATGCAGAGACATCGACAAGGACCCAAGTTGGAACCATAAAAACGACAGCATAACATCCGAGGATATACAGGAGTCGAAGGTGATGCATCCGTGTATCCCTCAGCACCTACAGACAGAGCAAAAACATAAAGATGTGAACAACTTCTATGAAGCAGTGTTTAATATTGATTAGATCAGGAGGTAGATATATTTGTCTGGAAAATAGATGTTACCCGCATTCAATATTTGTATTTTGGATGCACTGTAATAGCTATAACACATACTCCATTCTTATATTAAAAATAATGTATTAAAATATTCTGTGACAATTTTATGTTTTGATGTGTTGTGCATTAAAGCAATTTAGCACCCATCTAATTTTAACAAAAAATACACGGTCGATCTGGTAGCATCTCTCCATAGTATTTTCGGTTTTATTTCTGATTTCTGGCACCCACAATACATTGTTCTTGTACCAGTTATATTTTACTTGTTTATCCAAGGGATTTTAATCAAACACTGACTGGCCAGTGATAAGAGACTTTGATGCTTGGCAAAATATCACTTATAAGTGTCTTGAAGAGGATTGTTAGTGTAATTGACACAGGTGAACATAAATGATGAAATGTAGTAGATGTTGTACTCAAAAGTCTTCCATTGTAATTCTATTTATGGTGCTACTGGCCATCACAATTTGGATGAGATATAGGAAGCATGGTTAATAAGTTTGCAGATGACACCAAAACAGTAAAGATTACCTCAGAGTACAATGGGACTTTTGATCATCTGGGCCAATTGGCCGAGGAGTGGCAGATGGAGTTTAATTTAGATAAATGCAAGGTGTTGCGTTTTGGTAAGACAAACCAGGGCAGGACTGCGGACAGTTGTCAAACAGAGACTTAGGGGTGCAGGTACATAGTTCCTTGAAAGTGGCGTCACAGGTAGACAGGGTGGTGAAGGTGGCGTTTGGCACACTTGCCTTCATTGGTTAGAGCATTTAAGACATCATGTTGTGGCTGTACAGTACATTGGTGAGTTTACTTTTGGAGTACTGCATGCAGTTCCGGTTGCCTTGCTTTAGGAAGAATGTTATTAAATTGGAAACGGTGCTGAAAAGATTTACAAGGATGTTACCAGGACTGGAGGGTTTGCACTATGGGGAGAGGCTGGATAGGCTGGGACTTTTTCCCTCAGAGCTTAGGAGGTTGAGGGGTGACCTTGTATAGGTTTATAAAATCATGAGAGGCATAGGTAAGGTGAGTAACAAACGCACCCTTTTCCTAGGGTGGGGAAATTCAAAACCATGGGGCATACTTTAAAGGTGAGAGGAGAAAGATTTAAAAGGGACCTAAGGGGCAACCTTTCCACACAGAGGATGGTGCATGTGTGGAATGAACTGCCAGAGGACGTGGTAGAGGCAGGTACAGTTACAACATTTAAAAGACATTTGGACAAGTACATGAATAGGAAAGGTTTAAATGGATATTGGCCAAATGCATGCATTTGGGAGTAATTTAGTTTGGGAAACCTAGTCAGCATGGACGAGTTGGACGGAACGGTCTGTTTCCGTCCTGTATGACTTTATAATCAGATCATAATTATCCCAACAATTACAAAGCCAAGGTCATGCCAAGACTCGGACTTCAGAGGGAGCTCTTTACCTTCTTCGAGAAGATGTTCTGAAGAGAGAAGCAGAGAGTGGCAGCAAGTGCACTAATGAGTCCCCAGACATCAAAGGAAAGTTCAGTCACTGTTGCTAAGAAGACTCCGGATATTATAGGAATCAATGATATGTAGACCTGCCAAGAAGGAAATTCAATGGTTAGGACATGGTGGGAAGTTCCAACTGAATGCACACAATCCTGATAAAGATTAGTGCTTATTCATCCAGAAATTGATCCCCATCAAGATTTGGATCAATTATTCTTTGTGATGAAGCAGTGGAGCAAGAAAAAATTGCTATTTCTTAAAAATAACCATGGACTTTGTCACTAGATTGAAGAATAATTGAAAAGAACTTAAGAGTTTGCATCAATTGTAAAGTGATTAATTGTAATTTTCTCAAGAAAGACATAATACTGGGTCACATGACCTGGTTACTCTTGTCCCAGAAGCAGTACCGATAAGAAGCAAGCCAAGATGTGTCACTGGTAAATATAAAGGAGAGCTGCAGCAGAGGTAACAACACAGCAGTAACAATAACTGTGTTACACACACAGTAAAGCAGAACAGAAAGCCAAAGTTAGGTAGGGATTATGACTTTGTTTTCTCAGATGACCAGAACACTCAATGTGGATTACTAAGGGGGTCCAATGAAGGCATCTTTGGAGAATCTGTGTCATTTAAGACTGTCATGATCTGAATTAAGGTTCTCAAGAGCATGCCGCTCAGGTGACAACAGTCCCTGTGGGCCTTACATGAAGACTGCTAGTGAACATGACTGAAAGGTCATAAGTAGGTGAGTGGAGAAGAGAGCGAGAGAGTGCGAGGAAGAATGAGAGTGAGATCCTATGTTCTGGAGGCCGAATTAGAGAACTTCGGAACTGCACATGGTGTCACATCTGTGGAGGGTGATGCAGGTGCTTACGTAAGAGTCATTTTTCATATGGAACATTTAAAGTGAAATTTTTTCACCTGAAACTAAAGTGAAAATATTCGAAGCAATCTGTTTCTTCATTTATACTAACACTGATTTTTAACATAAAGTTATAAAATGTGAAATTCTCCCAATTCTGGGAGTTGTTTGGTAGCTCTATTTTTCATTGACTCTAGCAAGATTATAATACTTGAATCAACTCATACACTGATGCAGAATGGACTCAAAAGCATCTTAGAAAACATATATTTTCCTTCTATTCAGAATTTCCTGTTCTGCAACAAAATCCAAGGCACTCATCTTTATTTTGAATGCCATCACTTTTTATAAACAAACATTCTTCACATGGACTCCAGTCTTTATATGACCCAATTTGACTCTGATTATCAAAGTGACTTTGTCATGACTGTTTACTGAGAATGAGATGATGTGTTTTTTGCAACACTTTTAATTTATTGAAGCAGTGACTGTTTCTCACAGGTACTCATACCAAAGTCACTATCATCCGGGATTTAAAAAAGATTTCTTTGTGAAGGCTTTGGGCATCTTTATATCACCAACAAAAGATAGAACCACTGGCATTGCTGTTGGGGTCCTCTACCGAGGATATTCTGGAACAAGACACCTCTCTTCCTTTAACAGGTAAGTGACTGAACCAGTAGAAATACTGGTAGAAAGCTCAATTTCTCTCTCTCAGAGTAGCGCAGATCTTCGAAAAGAAGAGGAAACAGCTTGTGTGCAAATTCCCACACAACGATTATAAAAAGAACATTTTTAAAAAAATCACTTAATGCCCTCATGCAGATTAAGAATTTTTATTTAACATGCATTTTACAACTAAAAGCAGGGTATCAGATTTATTTATCCCAACTCAAAACCATTAGTTTCCTTGGATGATATGGAAGGCATTTGGGAGTGAGCGGAAAAAATTAAATTCCTAAAATGTAGTTTACAAATGCTCATCAGTTCCGCAGAATCTCAGACCCACTTACCTTTGTAGTTTGCTTCTCTTTCATGATGAGACGGGACAGAAGAACCACCCAAATAGGCATGGTGGCCTTGACTAAGGAGAAAAACAAAGTGAGGGGAAGGGAGTTAGAATCAACTCAATTCAATCTTGTGAAATACCTGACTGATTTCTGGAGGTTTTTATTAAGGCAATCTTTGCCATCATCTCAGTGCAACAGCTCATCAAAATATCTATCCTGTGTGCATCTCATGCTAGTCTTTCATGAGGACCCCACAAACACACACCGGAGTCAACAACACATTTCAGAAAGACTGAAGCGCCTCAGCTTTGTTTTGGGAGAGAACTTGCACAACTGAATGGAACAGAAAGATAATGAGACACCGAGATAACAAGAAACACACATCCCAACGGTTACACGTGAAATCACGGTGGTAGGGACTGAGAATAAAGGATCAATTGCACTCAGTTAGAGGTACCCCCTCAGGAGGTTCAAAACTCACATCCCATTCTGAAAACTTCAGCACAATATTCAAACAGATTAAGGCTGACGGAATGTGGAGTTTGACTGATCCAAAATGACACTTTCACTACGTTCTGTGAATAGGTTTACACTGTTAGAAGGCCTCCCTCCTTCAAGTCATTGCTCAGTTTACTAGCCAGCTTTAAGCACTTGGAGAAGTGAGTTTTAAAAACTCAGTTCAGACAGATGGGATAAAATTACACATCGCATTGGCTAAGAACCTGACATGAAGTGAGTCTGGGCAATCTTAATCTTGTTCTTCAAATAGGGAATGCTGGAGACAAAGTAGTTTAGGCAGCACCTGCCTAGAAAACAGACTTGTGTTTTGACAATACATTACACCTGACATGGATTTATTAAGGGAAGGTTGGGACTGAGCAACCTGATTTAACTTTTTTGAGGAAGTAGCAAAATGGACTAATGATGGCACCATATTTGAAACAGTCTGCAAGGATTGCCACAACAGTAGAACTTTTGATCAAGGTCCCACATGGCAGACAGGTCATAAAAGTAAAAGCCCATGTGATCTAATGGAAAGTAAAAAGCTGGATCCAAATTTAACTCAATGGCAGTTGATGCATTGCTGCGAGTGGAAGGATGCTTCCAGCAGGACTAAGTACTAATTGCCCTGTGTTCTTTTGTATAATACATCAATGAACGATCTGTTCCCCCTAGTACGGTTCAATAACAGTGCAGGCGATTTAAAAGAACTGCAGAAAGATTACAGGGAAATTGAACAGGGCATTTTTCATCTAAAGAGTGGCAGGGGCCAGGAACTCAACACCTGAACTGGTGCTTGCTTTACAAATCATCAAATTTATAAATGTTAACACTCAACACACAATAATCTGTAAGGTTAAGAGCTGGAAATAAGAGCTAGAAAATGGAAATAGGTTGGATAGCGTTTTATGACCATTACAGCCACAACAGGCCAAAAGGTCTCCTGTTTGTAGAGTTCTACGATTTTATACTGAATATATTTTCAGTATTTTCTTTATGTTTCAGATTTCCAGCATCTACAGCATTTTAAGTTTTAATCCTGCTCTTATTAAGCACAGGTCCAAAGCAGTCCAGAATCTTGAATGGGGCAAGGGAACGGAGAAATCATCAAATTCCAAATGAATTATCACATGCTTCACAAATGAGTCTTCACACCTCAGCCGTACAATGCTGATTGCACAAGACTTTGAAATAAATGCAGCAAACAGCAAGTTCAAAGTTGGAACAAGGCTCCTTTTATAATCAGATCATTCTTGCTTGAAATGCTGTGTACATGACATTCTGACCGGGTATCTACTGAAAACACTTTAAGGTGAATAAACATAGCATTAAGTGTGTTATTCACTAACTTGCCATTCACATTGGCTTTGCATTAGCCACAAGTGATCAGAATAACAGATCCTCAATAAAACGCGTCAAAACACCACAGGACACAATTTACTGATCAATCTCAAATCTTTTAAGTAATAAAGGTATTAGTAGATAAATTGCATGCTTATCTATATATACAATGGCATGAAAACAGTAATAAAAATCATGAGACAAAAAACTGAAATGTATTCAAATTAGCAGGAGAGTTGTTTGGAATTGCTTACAGAGATTACAGAATACTTTTATTTGTCAGCAGTTATTAGGTTCTTGATTTGCTTAATTTAGTAGAAATCTAAGCACTTTCAAGGAGAAACAAGGTCTCTAACAGTTGCTTAAAACGCGCATAGTAGAAATTTGGGAAATACAGTCGAGTATTACACCCAAAACAATTGCTGTAGGAGACACACCGATATCACTCAGACCAGCACAGACAATCAAGTCCACAGAGCTTCAACAGATTCCCCTATATTTGAAGGCTTTCATTTTGGGGCTAGCGTAAGCAGGAGAACTTCCTAACCACCTTCAGTTACAAGGATTCAGCAAAAACACTTCAATTTAGAAGCTAATAAGGCAACATCCTTTCTTATAAACAATTATTAAACAGGTAAATGCTGCTTGGTCAGTGATAAAAGAATAAATAGGAAAGGGTAAGTGAATCCTATACTGGTTTCAAGGGGCAGATATAGTCTGATGAAGGAGCTGGAGGGTACGGTCCTGAAGTCCCATGTACTTGCACCATTTCCGTTCCAAACCTTCTGAACATCAGTGAAGACCAAAGGAGCAAAATAAGTACACAATTAAGTGGAGAGATTTAAGATTGAAAGTAAGTTTTTTTTTTAAATTTAGAGCCTTGAGACACCTTGTAATGCACAAATAGAGTTCATGATTAAAAAGGACCATGGACTTGACAGGTTGAATGCAGAGAGGGTTTCCCCTTGTTGGAGAATCTACAATTTATAGTAGAGTTTAAGAGGAAGGGGTCTCTCACTTCAGATGGAGATAAGGAGGAATTATTTTGCTCCAAGTGCTGTTAGCATTTGGAATTTTCTCCTACAGTAAGCAATGGAAGTGCCTGATGCAGAAAAGGAACTAATCTTCTAGCTTAAAGTGTAAATAGTGTAAGGGCGGATAATTTATGATGCATACCAAAAAAATAACAGCAACAGAAGTCAGGAAGCGTATCTCAAATGCAAGTGAGGCTAAGGCTGGAATAAGGAAGGCTAAGAGTAAGCGTGAGGAAAGGATGGAAGGTTGCACTGGAACAAACAGTAATATGCTCCTCAAACTGATTAATAATTAAAAATGGAGTGAAGGATAGAGTGGAGACCGTAAGGAACAAGCAGGGTAAGCTGCTCACTGAAGCAAAGGGTACAGCAGAGGTGCTAAATGAATACTTTGCTTCTATCTTTACCAAATTAGAAAATGGTGACAATGGCCCATTTAAAAATGTAGATACTGAGCAGTATAGTGATAGATAAAGAAGAGGGGCTATAAAGGTTGACAGCACTCCAAGTAGAGATTGCTGAGAGGGGTAAGGGAGCAAATCATGGAGCCGTTGACAGAAATTTCCAGGCCCTTCTGAACACAGGATTAGGGTACTGGAGGATTGCACATGCAATGCTGTTATTAAGAATGGGACAAAGGATAACTCAGGAATCCACAGATTTGTCAGCTTGACATCAACAGTGGGAAATCTGAAGGTGGCTATAATACCGGATAATTTAATACAGTCATAGATACACACATAGAACAGAATAAGCTAATACTAGGCAATCAACATGGCTTTGTCTAGAAGTCATATCTGGCAAATTTAATTGAATTCTTTGATGAGGAGACACAGGCAGTGGATAAGGTTAGTGCTGTGGACGTTGTATATTTGGACTTTCAGAAAGCATTTGATATGGTACCACATGACAGGTTGGTTAGCAAATTAGAAATATTTGGAATCAAGATTACAAAGGGATCTTGATCAATTGGGTCAATGGGCTGAGGAGTGGCCGCTTAATTTGGATAAATGCTAGGTATTGCATTATGGAAAAACAAACAAGGGCTTGTAAAGTTAATGGTAAGGCCCTGAGCAGTGTTGTCGAACAGAGAGACCTGGGAGCTCAGCTGCATGGTTCTTTGAAAGTTGCATCACTGTTAGACAGGTTGGTAAAGGCGGCGTTTACAGCTATTGACATTTTTGGACAGCAGCTGAAAATTTCAGGTAAAGGGCTAGCACAAATACGGTGCTGTAATACTAGCTGCATACTGTATATCTGGTGTCCTTTTATCTCACATCTCCAACAGGGAAGAAAGAAGAAAAGAAAAGCAACTTGACAGATTATCTCCCATTAAGATTAGGCTCACAAATCATGATTTAGAACAGCCATAGGCCTGTATCAGCTCGGAAATTACTACACTTTCACTGAAATATGCAAGTGAGCAATCTTTCAAAGGTTGCGTACGTTTTGTTACCTCCTCTTTCCTTCATTTTTGGGTAATCTCCTTTACTGCACCTGCTGGAATGGCTGCATTCAATTTAAAGACACTATCTGCTCTCCAGATGATTGAATTCTCACAAAGCAGGTCAAATCTGTTATTAGAGGTGATATAATTAAATGGGAATGGATCAGTAAACAACAAAAATAATTTGGTTGTGTTCATCTTTCACTCTCTAACAATTCCTTTCATCACTATCTTCCTCTGACTTGCACATTTTCTCAGAGTTCTTTTCTCCATCTCTAGTTTTTTCTCACTTCACTTCCTACAATTTTGCCTGTTTCTATGCTTCCAGCTCTGTCTTTCATAGCACCTCCTGATCCCAGCACAAATATAAACTGACAATTGCACTTATGAAAGATTTAGGAGAAATTAGGAGAAGGTTTGGGAAAAATTCAATATTTCTTCTGAGCACTTGTAAAGAGCCTAGGTACCTAAATTTGAAAGACGTTGCTGCATTTATATGCAACTTAAGGTAGACAGGGTACCAAATTAAGGAACAAAAACAGAAGTCACTGGAAAAGCTCAGCAAGTCTGGCAGCATCTGTGAAGAAAAATCAGAGTTAACATTTTGGGTCCAGCGACCCTTCTTCAGAACCAATTTAAAGATTCATCTGAAAGATGGCATCTCCAGATCCAACGCTGCAGTGACAGCCTCAATTTGTGCACTCAAGTTCCAATGATGGAGACTGAATCAGGAACCTTGACACTTAGAGGT